GGTTTTCCTGTGGAAGTTTTTCAAGTAAGTTTTGCTTTTTAATTTTTTTTTCTCCTGTTCCTATTCTCTTTTATAGTATTGTACATGATGCAATAGTTTGTTATTTCAACACAGTAAACTCTTTTTTGTAGCAAAATTTTAAAATGATAAGCTAATTAAAATATGCTAAATTTAAAGACTTCTTCAGTAAAGTAATCCAAAAGAATGTGAGCTTATACAACAAAGTTGTACACATTCATCTATTTTCTGTTTTATCCCTTTTCAAACATAACTACCCATCATGATGACCCATTATTACTACATTTCGCTTCCTTTCTACTTGTATTTTCTGTAATAGTATGTTAATTTCTCATATTTTGAAAGTGGAATGAAAAAACTTATGCACATGATATCTTTTTATTTCCATCTCATAGAGCCACGCAGTCAGGTGTACCCTTTTCTTACAAACACCATGAGGATGTCATAGATGATGAGCATGTCATATTGCCCTACAGCAACGGGGCCACAGCCATCAAGCAAGAAGAGCAGTCGCCTATTTATTCGTACAATAGCACCCATTTCGATGTTCCGTACAGCCCAAACAGGAGAGGCAGCAGCAGCTCTGACCTGAACTCATCGTTCAAACATAGTGTGTCCATCAATAGTGACTATTACAATATCTCTGTGGATACATAAGCAATGCCCATATGGAGATAAGTTGTTTTGCAATAGTTGGTCACATGCTTATAATAGAAAAACAAATTGTTGCATTTTTATTCATTTATTGCTGGTATAATATGTTCCTGTTGTAACTGAGCTACTTGCTCTTGTATAGTACTGATGTTGATATGAGCTGCATGTGAGCTTGCAAGCTTCATTTTATTTATATAGTCATTTTTTTTTTTTTAATTTTGTTTTCATACTAATCCATAACTTCTGTGATAATTTTACTGAGCATTCATAATCTGAAAACTAGCCGTTTTACACAGAGTTTGAATTACTAATCCATTTTGTATTTTAGATTTAATATCAAGTACTTCTCTTCGTCTTTCTTGCAATGACTTTTTTTAGTCTTTTGGTTGTTTTTTTTTGGTTCTATTTAGAGTTTCCAAATAAATACAGTTGTTCATTCTGTTTACATTGATCCTGCTGAAGAATGGTTATTTGATTTTAAAGTAGAAAATTCCACATGTACCTACTTGATACCCAAAGGATTGTTTTCATATTAGCTTTTTTTTTAATAGCTTTTATATAATGCAACATTCATGCTTATAGCATGCTTGATACAATAATGTTATATTTTAGGTTTATTATTATTATTATTATTATTTTAGGTTCTGATTACTACATACAAATATACAAATTGTCGAAGTTATATCAACTAATTGACTTATTAAATTATTTCATGTATAAAATATAATAAAAGATGACTTGTCATTTTGAATAATTTTGAATGTTAGTCACTTTTATATTGATTTTGTTTTTTTACAAAGTAATTACTATACTGATAGTAACTAATTATCATCTTGTTTTTCAATTAAAATTGTTTTGTTTTATTCAATTGATTTTTTTTGTTTTGTATATTTTTATTTATTTTAAAGTTTAAATATTTCCTCTTTACTGTACTTGTCTTTCATGTAAAATAATTTTTTTTGGCTTCATTTCGCTGTAAAAAAAATACATGCTTAAAATAGTGTCCTTTTTTTTGTTCCTGTTAAAAGGCATGGACTTTTTGACATGAGAAAGAATTTGTTCTGAATAATTCTACTTTTAAATAATATTACCATTTTATTTTTCATTTAATTAGAATTCTATTGTACATCGTTTTGATAATTTAAAAAATAAAGGTATATAACTGGGTTAAGTATCATAAATTTAGTATACATAGTATCATACTAATAAGTCTGTTAAGTTCCATAGTATCATACTAATAAATCTGTTTAGTTCTTTCATTAAGCTTATGTGTTTCTGTAACTACTTTATGTAAGCATTTTACTAAGTTATTCTTTGATAAATCTCCACAATAAATTATACTTGTTGTTTTGTTTTAAAGAATTACAATTTCTTGTATGGAACAGTTGCCCGCAGTAGGCCTACATACTTTATATGTATGTGTATATTGGAGTCCAGTAAAAATTCTAGAAAAACTTTTCACTCCTAAATAATGTTATTGGCCCCTTCCCCCTCCTTTAAGCTGATACATGTTCATTAGTGCTGCAGAGCTGTCATGCCATTAATTTGTTTTTAAGTGGACATATTCTGAGCAGCTCCCTTCTTCCAACAGCAGAACATAATTCTTTAGACAGACACACATGACATTTCTGTTCAATGTGTCCATATTTTTTTTACTGTCCAATCACATGTTCAGAGTGTTTACATTTAGGATTCAGATACAAATTATGCAAAATAATTACTGGTATCTTTATTGTATATAATGCATTCTTTTCATGTGAAATTGTGTTTATACTGTGGTATAAAGATATTTTTTTTAAGCTTTTCTTTCATTTAACATCATTAAGACATGATCTGGTTAGTGGGATTTCTCATGTAAAGTATATGCATCAATAATCTGTGGTAAATGGATATCCTAATTTAATCCTTGACAGGATTTTAAGACTGTTAATATTTCATCTTCACTCAAATTTTCAGACTCTTACTTAGGTTAGTTTGTTAGATCCTCTAGCGCGGCAAGCTGTCTCCTTAAAGATCTGTTATAGGCAATGTCTGCAGCCTCTTCCCACCTGGTGTCCATTGCTCTGAAGTCCTCTGTGAAAGTGTGCACCAAGATATACATGGTCATCCCATTGGTATATGTAGTTCATTCTGTTGGAATACATGCGACACTATGTCACAACCTCTTGAATTGGTCATGTCCCCGGTCAGCATAGGATTTCTTTCTTTGTGCCCCAATTTCTCTGACTCCTAAAATCCTTCTTAGTCATTTTTGCTGAGCCACATTTAGCATTTTCTTGATTTTTGCAGATGACTTCCATGTCTTACATGCATACATTTGCTGTTGGGATGCCGCTTGTGTTGAATAGGTGGGTTTTTTTTGGCTCAAGTCCAATAGCTTGGCTTGTCCAAATAGGTCGCAGCCTTTGAAAAATGGTCCTTACCTTTCCTATTCAGCATTGTCATGATAGGCATTCCCATCATTTGTTATGCTGCTGCCAAGGTATGTGAACTGACTGGCCCACCTTTGCTGTATATACCACTCACACAAGTTTAGTTTTAGCCAAGTTTATGCGAAGGTCAATTTTGTGTGCCTCTCTCTCCAGGCTCTATGTCATTTCTTATACACATTTACTTGTAGACCCATGTAGTGCAACGTCATCAGTGAAGTCCAAGTATGTCATTTGATTCTGTTCACACCATGGAATACTAAAGGCATTCTGATTCATTGCACTTGTCATTATGTAGCCAATGGCTAGGAGGTAGACAAGATGCACCCTGTCTCAGTGCTAAAGAATTCTGTTGTTCCTTCTGTTTGAATGCAGCAACTAGATTGACTGTAGTAGATGGTCTTCTCTGAGCCCCTTAGGTGTCGTATCAAGTAAACAATATTGAAAAATTTGCACAGAAAGGAGGGTAATGTCCATCCAGTTGTTGCAATCTGTCTAGTTGCTTTTTTTAGGAAGCTTTACAATTGCTCATTTTTGCCAGTCCGCTGGGACTTAAGAAGTCTGCCAACAGAGATTTAAGAGATCAGCCATTCTTTCTTTTAGACTCAACAGTTTCTTTATCATGTTATCAAAAAGCCTTAAATGATTTTCTAGATTGCTTTGAAAAGTTTAATTAAAAATATATTTTGATACATTGTTGTTTAGTCTGTTTCAGGTACAAAATAAATATATTCCCTATTTTTATATCACAATACTAGATTTGTTTCTTGTTGTGTCTTTTCCCAATAAATCACTGCATCCTTTACTTTAGTTTTGAACACCAGTGAAACTATTGCTTGTTTTTTTAGAATTGAGATAATAGATTTTAAATAGATGTTAAAAATACAGTATTTAAATTTACTTAAACAAAATGATGAAACTTCAATTGAAATAAAAAGACCTAAAAAAAAAACTTTCATATTTTTCTTTATTTTTGTAAAACCGTAATGTTCAAAAGCACCCAAAAAAATAAGGCAATACAAAAAATAACTTGTTAGATAAAATAGGAATAGATAGTACAAGTCTCATATTTACAATTATGGCATCTAATATTTATTTGCTTCAGTCAATGTAAAAACAATTTAAAGTTTATCAAACATTTTAAAATTAAACTTCTGGAAATATTTTGACAATGCATGTAGATTGGTACCATACTTTTGTTAAATGTAATTTTAAATTAATATATAAATTGTGCTAATTTTCAAATTAGGGATCTACAATATGATGGTGCATATTCTTAGTAAAAAGTAATTGTTGTTAATAAATACTGCCAACATAAGACTTTAAATAAACAAATAAATAAACGCTGGAACAATTCTGACCGAAGCAGCAGATGTGCTTAGAAGGTTAACAGAATATTGCAAAGATCTCTGTTTAACCTCAAGAACTCAACTAGTCTTAATCAACAAAAGACCTTGACAAGGCTCAGAAGTACAGGAAGCAATAAGATCACTTCATGGTGGCTAGTCATCTGGAATTGATAACATACCATCAGAACTTTTACAACATGGCCACTCACAAAAAAATAAATGTTTTAGGACAATCTGCCTGAAAATATGGGGGAAAAAAAGATGTCCAAAAGAATGGACCCAATCTTTTAACTATTCCACTGCCCAAGAAAGGAAACTTGAGACAAGGCCAAAACTAAGTCTTATCAGTCATTTGAGCAAAATAATGCTTATTTTCAGCAGACTCAATAGAAAAGCTGTGGAGGTCCTTTCCTAAGAATAGGCGGGCTTCAGAGCAGGTAGAAGCACCGTTAAACAAATATTTAACAGTTTAATGAAAAATGCATTCAGCATCAAAAGGAAATGGTACACAACTTTATAGACTTCAAAAAAGCTTTAGACTGGGTTTGGCGTAATGAGAGAGCTCAACAAAGATAAACATTTTTGATTTTATCAAAGCTCTATACCAAAATGACCCCAAACTGTATCAGCACTGCCGTTCCTTTGGATACATCAGCTGTGTGGAGAGGGGGGAACTGATGTGTTGGCGACAACGTTCCGACCACAGCTAATGCCCAGGCATTCATCTCATTTTCATGAAATGATCAATAGTCGCTTCGCGGCAGAAGGAGGCCATAGAGAAGAATAGAAGATACCAAAATGGGAATAGCTCAGTACTTCTGAAAAGGATCAAATAGGACAAAGTTTAAGGATATCCATTGGATATCCAAGGATGCATTCTCCAGCTCTTTTTAACATATTTCTGGAGCGTCATATTATGATGAAACATATATAAGGATTTACTAGCTTGACCGTAAATGAGCGGACTATTTTCAATCTCAAATTGGAGAAAATGTAGACCAGGTACAAGATCTTACTTCAAAACTGAATGTGCTGTAGCTAGAGTAGTTGGTATGGAAATCAGTGCTGATAAAAAGCAAAATACTAGTTTGTGTTGGAGATAGTATGAGATATTGAATGAAGCAGTTGACTCATTTAAATACCTAGGGTCTAACATAACAAGATATGGAGGATCAATAAAAGAGATAAAAATCTGCTTAAGCTTGGCATCCAATGTCATGAGTAAACTGTGGAAAATCTGGAAGAGTAACATCAGCTTCTGAGTAAAATTAAAACAGTATTCTTCATTAGTGGTCTCTGCACTCCTATATGATTGTGAAAGTTGGACACAGAATGCTGAGGCTGAAAGAAAAATTCAAGCCTCTGATAATAAATGATACAGAAAAATGCTGGGAAATTACCAGGAAAAGAAGACAAATGAGTTTGTACTTTTAACTTTTACAAGTCATCACTCCTGCTGGCAAAAAAGGAGAAACTTCCCAATAGTGTGAAGAGTTTAAAGTGGTGTTGGTTAGGTCATACTGTAAGACTTGACTCACCGTCAAAGTCATCCTTCAAGGTTTATTGGAGGGAGCATAAAGAAAAGGCCATCCAAGGAAAAGCTGGCTGGATAAAATAAAAGAATGGGCCGGCCTCTTTCTTGATCTTCTACTAAGAACAGCTGCTGACTGGGAAAAGTGGAGGGATTTGTTTATGTGAGCTGTCACAACATCCTACAACAAAAGTCAAGAAACAGACGTGAAATGATGAAACACTTATAGAATGCTTAAGTTAAATGCTATGTAAAATGAATGCCAAGATATTTCTTTCCTTCAAGTATGCTTAAATACTGCTTGTTAATTTTTTAAATAATTTTTTTTTCATCCTGAAAAACACTAAAGAAAATTAATTTAAATAACAATAAATGAAAGGACTAACTTTTTTCTTAAATAGTTTTTTTTATGGTTAAATAAAGTTCACTGTACACTTTGGAAAATACAATTTCGATTGCAAAAAAAAATAAATGAAAATGTACAAATCTATTTTAAAAAATATTGCAGTGAAGAGACCAAGTATTAAAAACTGATACAAACATTATTTACAATCAAGACTTTGAAGAAATTAATTAGCATTAAGGACTTCTCAATAATAAGGGCCTTCAAAAAAATCAAGCAAAAAAAAACAACAAAAACATAAAGGTTTTCAACTGGCATCTAGATAGTAAGCTTATTTACTCTGGATTTTACAATATCATTGAGTTCTACCAAAATTAAAAGAAACTGACATAGTTCAATTCTTTATGTTGTCTCATTACACTCAAGACCCATAACAATGGCCAAGTGTGATATCAGCCAACTAAAGGGTTAAGTAGTCACCAAAGCCTATCTCTTTTAAAAGTAAATAAAACTGAATTTCCTTATTTTTTAGTTTGTTTCTTTCTGTTACTTTACAATGTTGAAATCTTAACTTTTATCTTTTTTTTCCCCTAAATTTACTTGTTTATATCTTTGATACAAAATTTCAAAAGTTTTTGTCATATTTTGTTTTTTACAGAACCATGTCTGGCAACTCTACTTTACAAATAAATCTAGATCTAATCATTTTTATCCAATGTATCTACCATGACATAGTAGAAATGGATAATAAATGAAACCCCACAGATATTACCTCAGCTGTCAGCTGAAACAAAACACAAAAATGCAAAAACTTATTATTATTATAAAAGTGCACATGCTTACACCTTATTTCTGAAATATTAAGTCAAATTAAAACTACTCTTGCACAACATTATAATTAGACAAATTTATTATTGAAGAACAATTACCCAACACAAAAAAATAAATTCTCATAAGTGAAAAAAAAATCTGATGCTGTGGTTTTTACATTATTGTGTGTAGTTATTTGTACTCAAACATTTGCATGGTAGATAATATACAATAAAAAAAAAAACACAAAAAAAACTCATTACTTACACAAAAAACATGCATATAAAACTGACATTGTGAAAACTACCAACTTGTGAAACAAAAAAAAACACAGGGCCTTTGTGAATAGAAATATGTGAAAAGTGAAACAAAAAGTTAACTAAAAAAATAAAGGTATGTTAAATACTGTATTTAGAAAGAAAATACTGTTTGGCATAAATGTGAATTACAAAAAAAGGCAGAACAAAACATAGGCAAACAAATTCAAAGCCAACATAGCATTAACAATCAATAAACATTTTAATATGAAAGAACACATATTTATTAAAAAAATATTTTTATTTAATAAAATAAACAGTCATTTCCCAGACAGACAATTAGCCTGATTTAACAAGTAGGCCCCTACATTATTTCAAATGCAATTCTTTTAAAGAGATGTTGGTATAAAGTTTAGACAAAAAAAAAGTAAATAGAAGCCTATATCATTTAGAGCAAAATAAAATTTTTAATGAAACTTAATATCAAAAACATGCTAAATGTTATCTTATAAATTACAGACGTTCCTTCAAAAGTGGAGATAATTATGTCCTACAAGTATAAATGCTATTATTTATCTTTTCTTAAAAATTAATGGCAATCTGCCATTACTCTGACTATTCTAGTCATTGATTCACAGTGCAACCAACTTTTAAATAATCACTTGCAATGATATGTCTGATTTTTAAAAACATTTTGAAATGTTAAGCTAAGCCTTTTACAGGATAATATTTAATATCACAAAAATATGTAGTTTTTTTTAATTAAATTTTTATTTATGTCTATTGACACATTAAACTTTGTGAAAAAGGTTTCTAACTGTAAATTGTTTCTCACTATTTCAAAAATGATAAGGAAATCTTACATTTAAAAAGCTGAAACTATCATATTAAAACAATGAAATGCATCTGAGTAGTGCTTAAGCAGTTTCAATTTTAAAAAAACATCTTGAGACTCTGTAGGGCAGTTGTGCAATAAGCAATTTTCTTAAAATAATGTTTACTCCAATGAGCCATTCTAATTATTATTGCAATCATGATTCAAGACAAAGTTCCACTCCAGTTAATTGGGTTGTAGCGCAAAATTTCTCTGTCGTATCTATCAGTCAACATCTTGTCCGTACGAGATTTCTCCCAAGCCCCCTCCATGAACTGCAATGAAAAAAAAATGAAATAAAAAATTCAAAGTCTGAAGCGGAGTTGAATAGAAATATAAACAGATTGTTAAAAAAAATATGAATAATTCAAATACATCCAACAATAATATATACTCACAGTTTTATTTTCATCCCTGAAATGTTTCAAATAGTTATACTTGTCTATAATGTTTTGAAAATCTTGTAACTTGCATTGTCTGTCATATTCAACAATGGATTCACTTTCATGAAGTTTTATTTCAAAATCCCTTCGTTTCTTTTCGTCACTATCAGCCATTTGTTGTTTTAAAACTTCTCGAAAGTGCCGCCTAAAATGAAATGTACTAGAGTACTTGATTTGAGATTTTCAATGTTTAAATTAAATATGAAATCCAATCTTTTGTACATTTTTTTAATTTTAAATTTAATTAGAGAGTAAGAAGAAGAGAACATATAAGCATGACTGCATGATCTTTATTGTCAGTTAGATAATTGAAATGGCACATTTTTATCCAAAATATAACAAAAAGAAATATACCAGTATTCATGTTCTTTAGATACCAACTTTTCTTAGATAATTTTCACAAACAGTATCAGTAATATATAATGACATTTAAATAATATATTAATGCAACTTTTAAAAAAAAAAGTAATCTTTGTTACTATTATTATTATTACATTGTTAATATCCATATGTATTCAATGAACTGATTGTTATGAAGGTATGGTTCAGGATGAGCCTGCCCTAACAATGTTATTAAATGATCATCTAATTGATGGTTGGTAAAAGGCCAATCTCTCATTCATATACTAAGAAAAGGAAAATGAACTCTGTTTTTATTTTTATGGAGAATGATATTTTCATTCTATCACAAAGGGCATCTAGATATAATGAGATCTATTATTTAAGAATATTAATAAGTTTATCAATAGCTGAACAGTGTTTGTGTATGTTGTATAGCACTGCAAACATTGACAGAAATGTTGTGTTTAACTTGGAAATATTAACAAGAACAAAAAAAGGGCTGCACACTAATAATAGTATTGCATGAAACATCTGATGATGCTTCAGTAATATAAACCATGAAATCTACATGATTGTGATGATAAACTTATTAGAAATTATTTTTAAAGCTACATGATTCTGTAGTCTTCTTTTATTATTAATTCTTCTTGATGACTGCAGTATTTTAAATGAAACTGCTAGGCCCAACACATTGAACAAAATTGTTCTAAAACATATCACCTTGATAGAGATCTTCATTTATAGTTTCCATGTTACAAATTATTGTAATACCTAATGGAGGAGAAACGTGGACTGTGCTAACTGTAAGACCCAGGCAGTGCCAGAGTAGGTGGAGGGTCTGGGGCTGGATTTTTGTGGACACCCCTACAATTTTTTGAAAGCTTTAATGATTGAAGGAATGAATAAAAATACTTATATCTAAAAGCATGCTTTAGTTTAGAAGAAAGAAATAGTTATTGTAAATTTTATCTCTTTTTTGCACTACTGTAAATCCAAAGCTGTATTTACTTATTCTGGGCATGCTACAAGAGTGCACTTCTAAATCATAACATTTTGCAAGCCAAACAAATGCGAGAAAAAGGTTAGAAATTTTTATTCTTATTTTCTGACCAGTCAAATTTCGGATATAATTTTCTCTTTTATGGAGGCCCTTAAATCCCTGGACCCAGGCTAGGTACATGTATAGGACAGGCTTCATGTAAGAGTGGTAGGGGCAGGTAAGAAGAGCTAAGTTGAGAATAACAGGAGAGTATTGAAGACAGTTGTGGGACATCTTTCAGGAGGGATTGGGCAAGGTTGGATGAAGAAAGCTGCAGGACTAGATGAACAGTTCGTGAATCAGACATCAAAAGGAAAAGGCATGTGGGCTAAAGGGTGAAGTGGAGCAAAAGTTCTAATTAATAACAAAATTTGTTTTTTCATTTGTGTTTTCAATGATGAAAAACTTTTTTGTACCTATTATGCATCTTCACATCCATACTCATATAAGCTTCTTGGTTATAGCTAATAAATGCTTTGATCATGAAAAAGTGATAGGTATCCATTTATTAGAATAATTATTACATTTCGGATAAGCTATATGATAAAGCAGGGGGATGGGTGTCCAAGT